TAAAGTGAGAATTAACATGCACTGCCTCTATCACTTTACCCTTGCACAATTTACAAAGGTATTACATCAGATGTTCAATATATGAATTCGTATATATGTTAATTCTCTGTAGTCCGAGCACAATACTCCTGATGTGTGATGCACTATAGATGCATTAAATCAAAGTTTTAACTGCTCACCTTTGAGCCTCGAAACCATCACTCCCTCTCTAGTATATCACACAACAGAAACGTGGATTACAGAGAATTAACATATATACGAATTCATATGTTGAACAACTGATGAAACACCTACAGTATGTAAATTATGCAAGGGTAAAATGATAGAGGCTTTGGCAGGGCAGAATTATTTGGTAAGCTTATGAGTCAATGACAGAAGATGAACGTGTAAAGGTTAAAAATCAAAGTAACATAAATCATTTCTTCTCAAAAATGGACAAAATTTTGCTAAAGAATTTTTGTTTCTGAATTATTAACTCATATGAAGCCGCTAAGAGAAAAGCTACTTAGACGTATATAATTGACAATAGTGTCCATGTAAATCATAAGTAAATGCTGACAGATAAGCAGACAAATAGACAGATGTATCGATACTGGCCACTGCATTAGTTCTCTCTAGCCCTGACCTTGAGATGAGATGCTGAAAAGAGTTATTGAGATAAATAATATCGTATAATGGTATGCAAGTAAAAAAAATATAGGCAAGACTGTGAAGAAGCGACAGTAATTTCCTCGAGCATAGTTAACCCTTTATTAAGTTTATGTCAAAGACCAGACATTCATCCCCAAGGCCTTAGCGCTAGTTGAACGGAATTACTGTAACTAAATATGAGGACAGTAAACCAATACGAAAACTTGACAACGTTTCCCTACTGATATTACAGAATCACCTTCATTGAAACAGCTCTGTGATGCTATATTTTCGCCGCTTAAAAGGTGATGTTTGCAAAGCTAATATAGGTTGTGAGTTCCCATATTTGATTACTACCGCTTCAGTCACTCTCAAAATATTGTATTGTTTTTCTATCGCATTATACTAAAGCTTTCTACACATGGCCGCTTCAGCGCTGAGCGTGAGGACGAGCCAATATTTATTTTATTTTTAGCGCATGAGGTAACAAACACGGTAATGGCTGCATGTTTAAGTCTTAGCACATGTTGCTTTGTAAAGAATGGGCTTACAATACAGTCAAATGAACAGCGTGAGCCATAAGTGAAAGAATATATATGCATTATATAAAGAAACGAGTCCTCATATCACTGACGACATAAAAATTTGCTGTTGAACAGTTCAAATATCAAACACTCCATTTACTGTGTTGAGGGAACCCAAAAGGGTGGTAACTCTCTGCGGAAACGTGGACGGGTTGTGTGAGGTTCTCGTGCCCCAACACCACGACCAGGAGAGGCAGGATATAAGGTATTACACATACACTCTTGTAGTTTTGATTATGTTAACGCTGCTGTGATGTTATGTAAAATAATAAAACTATGTAAAATTTCTACAGCAAGTAGTACACATTAACGTTCGTAAGGTACATAAATGACGAAATGCTTCTCTCTTCTTCATTAAAGTTCTGCTATAAAGTAAAATGTGGGTCATATTGGCTGACGATACTGAATATAAAATCCATTTAAGACTTGTAGATAAAGTATTACGAAATTGAAAACACTCTACCCAGAAGTTCACTATTTTGTATAACAGTTTACACATAATTTTGAAACCAGCGTAACTTCCTTCTATAGTGAGACGTATACAGAACAACCCCAGCATCAGGAACACTTGGTGGAGGAGAAGGTAGTATGGAGCACAAACCCTTAGGCATTATCAGTACGGTCAAACTTTCTCCTCCTCTCTCATCCTCACCCAAACTATCTAATGGGGACTGAGCCCTCACGTTAGGTCACATCCTAGCAAGTGGCAGCGTTTATTCATTTAGCTTCCTACAATGTTATGGCCTAAAATATATTTATATTCATTTATTCATTGATTCATTTGTGTACTATATATACTTATTCATTTGCCTCTTTACATACTGTAGCCTATTTACTTAAACATAAACATAAATCATTATTTGAACCTTAATCTCAGAATGAATAAGTTGCTTAAGGAAAATTAGTAAAGAGATATATTAACTTTTTTTTAAGAATATATAACTTTTGAAACGTTTTATCATAAACAATATACATTAACAGAACTGTTCCTTCTGCTCTCCGGTGATTGGGGTTACGTCGGCCAGCCCAATGCTTACCTTACCAAATGCGTCTCATTATATACTCAGACGAGAATATGATTAGAACTACACTAACCTAACCATATCTAGCTCTCTCTCTCTCTCTCTCTCTCTCTCTCTCTCCTGGAAGAAAATACATCATTGTCACTGCCACCCAAAAGTTCGTTACAATTAAATTCAGAGAGGATTTTCGCTTTCTTGAGAGAGTGAGAGAGAGAGAGAGAGAGAGAGAGAGAGAGAGAGAGAGAGAGGGATACACACACACAATCATGGAAACAGACACTAATAGACAGAGATAGACAGAGTAACAGAGACTAATAGACCGAGAAACGGAGACTAATAGACAGAGATAGAGAGAGAGAAGCACCGAGGAGGGCCCCAGCAACTTCCTGGGTGAAGAAGCTTATCCCAGTTCTCTGTCGTGTAGTTAACTAATACTTAAATTAAATCCCACTTTACCTTTTACTTCTTGTTTCTTCAAGTATCAACTTAGCGTATGTTCGAGTCGATTCATATAAAAGACTTATTACTAATAGTAGAAATAAAATCCATTTAGTTTTCACTCCCTCTAAAGAAATTAAGAATTACTGATGCGAACTTCAACCCAGATACGAAGTTTAAGGAATCCTGGTATCTGGCAACACTGTGTCAGGAAATCTATATGTAAATGGTCAATTAGGCCTTACGCGTCCCTGGCTATAGTACTCAATGGGTAGGAACATTCCTATCTCCTGGAAAATTCCCCTCCCCCATTCTCCACCCGGGGACTATCTTCACTCCTCCCACCCCCTTCCTTTCGCCCTTCCCCTTCCTTACTCACCCCCCTTCTTCACACACATCCGCACGTCAGTTGTTAAAACGTAACGACACAGCATCACACCCATCCCTGACTCCAGTCACCCCTCTGACGACATCACAATAGTAGGACATTATTTTCCTTATAGGGTCACAACTGCCATTACAATGTACTGTACCACTACGCAGGACCTCATAATGTCAATTTACTCCATTTATAATTTCGAAGAAGTTTAAGTAGTCGACGAAAAATCAATTAATTATACTTAAATTATGTTAAACAGAATTTAACGTGCAAAATTGTCAGCTGGATGAAAATACGGATATGCAAGAAACAATACAATGATATTAGTTTATATCCAGTAATAGACTCCTCACTATAGAGCAAAACAAGTTTACTGTAATGATTTAAACCTGGCAATCATATTCAGATAGCCTTCAGTATTCACAGAATTGATCTAAATAATTTGTTTATAATATTAGTGCTGTATTAAATGAGAGATGTCAGCCACTTGGTGTATTACTAAGTACTACATGTGACGGCCGCAAGAAATTCATCGTTACATTATTTCATTACTACAGGGATATGATGTTTGATACTTATAGTCTATTGAAATAGTAAACAATGTTAGAAAATATAATCGATAATAATGTGGAACATCGCCAACAGAATAATGTTAACTTACCGAGTAATCCAGTGAAGCGAAATATTCTGGGCATCTATGGAAGCAGATATAATGTAAGGGCTGACTGAGTCAATTAAATTATATCAGCTACCTAGCACAACTTTATGTAACCCATGACCAGACGCAATAACACAACACGGAAACTGAATCCACATGTCCCAGTTATCCAGGGTAATATAATTGGTCTGTGCCGCTGATAGTCGTCGCTAACCAAAGCCCTCCTATCAGATAAACAAACAGTGCCATTTATTGATGTGTGTGTGTGTGTGTGTGTGCCAAAAATGTTTGTGTTTGTACCAATAAACGAATTCACCGAAGCATTCATACATATGCGCTCATATCTCCCCGACCGTGACTAATTCTATTTTAACAAACAGTCGGAATAATAATGCTTACGATATCGTTCTCTTATATGTGACATCAAAATATATAAAGTCTTTTTATCCCTTGGTTAAAATTTTCTTCAGTCTGACGAAAGAAAACTCAGGCCAAGGCTTTAAATCCAGCTCAGCAGAGAGTGAGGGAGGGAGACAGCCAGGCCTTGTGGGTAATGACTGGGATATGATAATGTGGCCAAGGATTTGACATTATAATTGAATGGCAAGTGACTGCATACGGTAAAGCGAGCTTATTGCTCCTCTGGCGCCTTCTTTCCGGTTTACGACGAGGAAAAGAAGAGAGAAGAAAAGTGGTTGCGACATATAATATTTTAGTCATTAGGAATATTCCGTTAGCCAGTGCGGTTGGTGAGTGTTCTATCTTCATGGTTTACCCCTTGGCACTGGATCACACAATCCTCTATCAGAGACCCTATAGTAAAAAAAGAATATATATATATACAGTATATATATATTCTAGGTTACTCATGCTCAAAAACAACGACGTCAGTCAAAGTGAAGGCTTCAAAGAAAATGGTACCACACGAGAGGGAGGCTTCAACGAAAACAACAGAAACGACAGGAAAACTTCAAAGAAATGACAGCAAACAAGGGGAAGACTTCAAAGAAAACGACGGCCGACTAGAAGACAGCAATGAAACAACGCCACATGAGGATAAACTGCTTACGTGTATATATATATATATATATATATATATATATATATATATATATATATATATATATATATATATATATATAAAATCACCCTCTAAAATAATATAGGTGTGATCAATCATACCCATAAAATAGGGAGGATGAGTGTGTGGAGGCGGGAAGGAGAGGGGGGGCTGGAGAGAGGATGCCTAGCAAGATGGTGAGTGGGTCTGTGGGAAGATTTGTGGGAAAATGGGGCGTGTGGGGATATATGAGTCGGGATTTGAGGCAAGTGAGTGAGGAGATGATGAGTATAATGAGTGTATGTATATAGGGAAATGGATGCGTTGAAAGTGACAGAGACTATATAAAAAGATAAGGAGGGGGGGTTCAAAACTGGAGTTAAGTATGGGAAGAGGAGAAGAAGGTGTGTCAGGAGATGGATAACTGTGTGAATTGGGAGGTAGTTATTGTAAGAAGATGTCGCAGTTGAGTTTGAGGAAATGGGCATATGTACAGTATGTTATTGAAACGTGAAACTAGAGTTTTGTATCCCCTCTCTCTTCCAGGACATTTGGTTTGATCTTGATGAAACATCACTTGGAGGTGTCCTGATCCTCGTGAAGTGTAGTGGAGGGTGAGAGTCTCGTACCCATCAATACTCACGGTGAATCCCTTCAAACTGATGATTCTTCAGCCCAAATGTTTACCATCGAGTCTTGTCATTAACCTTTGAAATATGTATAATATGATAAGTCAAATTACTCATCTTTTTTAGAGATTTCATACAGAAAAAAGGTAAATTTAAATATTTCCATCAGAATGTACCACCTCGTATTGATCCCGTGTACAAGACTGTCGGCAAGTATAAAACATTTTTCTGCACACGAGATTTCCCAAGAGGACATTCAAGAATTTATTCTCTCCAAATAATTAAAAAATCGGAAGAATCACGCCTATTCTTCACATGTTTTATGCTTTTTCCATTTTAAGAGGTAAAAACACTTGAAGAGGGCCTGTTCAGGAATGCACTTGCAGTACTAAAGGCAGGGGGAGGCAAAGAAGGTTCAGAGCGATGTTAAAAGAAGAAAAACAAGGAAAAGCGGAGGAGGAAGGATGCATCATGCTGGGGCGACATGTACAAGACGTCCAAGTGTTGACGAAAACTTGGGAAAACAAAAAGAACAGAAAAGAGGAAACAATAGATTTAGAAGTAGTATATACTGTATATATATATATATATATATATATATATATATATATATATATATATATATATATATATATATATATATATATATATATATATATATATATATTTTTTTTTTTTTACAGGAATTAGCCCACCCGGGCACAGGTCGAACGACCCACAACGGGACCTGAGGGGCGAAAAAATAGGAACAGAAAAAAAATAAAAAAGAGAAGATAAAGGTTATAATGTGTTAAGCTACATCACGAAGATGCCGGAAAACCAGCTTTTTAACGTGAAACTTATTGTATAAGTATTGAAAAGGGCAGAGCGTTCCACAGTTTGGCTGTGTGAGGAAAGAAGGATGTACTATAACGGGTTATTCTAGTGTGACCGACATCCACAAAGAAACGGTGGGCACCGGGGGCAACACGTGTGTTACGAGCCCAAGTCTTTGCCGGCGGTACACAGGTTGCCAAATCCACCGAACATTGCCCGTTAAAGTAACTATAAGAGAGAGTGAATCAACATTGCGGCGAAGAGAAAGGGAAGAGAAATTGTCGACTAAAGGAGGAGAGTTAATGAGATGAAATATTATATATATATATATATATATATATATATATATATATATATATATATATATATATATATATATATATATATATATATATATATATATATATATATAAATATACAGGGCATATATTCTGACGACACTGAGCCAGCAAAGAGGTAACACCTTTTTCAAAGTGTTTTGCTAAACACGCATAAATTTTTATTTTTATTAATACAACTTAGTGGAAATAAAAAAAATATTTTAGAAGTATTTTAGTGTTTTGCCAGCGTAAATTAGCCAAATTATACCTAATGTAGGTTAGGTTAGGTTAATTTAGGTTTTCTATGAAAATATTCATTTATACGCATTATGATGATCTACATGATCGTACATGACCGGTCAGAAGTTTAAAGAAACATGAAATACATAGAAGTTAGTGCTATTAAGTAACTATCCCTCTATATTGCAACGCGCATACGTGTGTGTGTGTGTGTGTGTGTGTGTGTGTGTGTTTTAGTGTGTGTTGAACAATAAAAAAAAAATATATTTTTGGTCTATTTAGGAAAAGACCTCCGTCGCTCACACATATTTACTCACATTTCACTTTGTCATTTCTTGCAAGTTTTCAGGGAGTCCAAATGCTCTGGCTGGAAGTTTAAATTAGGGTTAACTCTGGATATTTCAAATAACTTTATGTTGCAGGAAATGCTTCCGAGATTTCTTTCGTAAAGTGTAGAAGAAAAAAGTTTGAATCATCTAAATATTCTAAAGGTGAAGAAAAAAAATTCACATCCAGGAATAATAAAAAAGAAAAAATTATGAGTAAGTAAAAAGAGAAATGGAAAATTTAGAAGAAATTTTATATGAGCAATATAACAGTAAATGGAAAATGCAAGAGAAAAAGCAAAGGGATATAAAAAGGTAGATGGTGAACGAGAAAAAAGAAAAACAGAAGAATAAGCTATACAAGAAAGTGATAAAACGTAAATAATAACCCAAAATTGGAAAATATAAAATATAAAGAAGACTCGTCGTGAAAAGGAAAAAATAAGATAAAACAAGAAGCTAAGTCAAGAGAAGCTAAGAGAGAGGCAGTGGTACTGGAGGCGTTATGATAATTAGCTTAATAGAATGGATAGGGTGTCTGGCAGGGGAGAGAAAACAAATGTGAAAAGAAGCACACCGAACAGTTGAAGAAGAGATGAGGAGGGTGTAAAAGTAAGATTAACCCCAAGAAGAAGAGGAGGAGGAGGAGGATTGAGACGCAGCAGCAAGCAGGGGAGGTAATTACCGAGGCTCGTCCTCTGGGAGTCAGCCCCAAGGAACACCCTCCTCTCCCTGCCTTAGTTCATCCCCCAAGTGGTAATGGTGAGGCTCCGCGAGCTGTCTCTCTCTCAATCCTCCCAAATCCCCGACCAGTCAACCGTTTCCCCGCCTGATGGAGCTCATGTGCTTCCTCGTCAGCTAGGGAACGTATCATACCAGCTGAGGAGGGTACCACACCAGCTGAGGAGGGTACCACACCAGCTGAGGAGGGTACCACACCAGCTGGGGAGGATACAACACCAGCTGAGGAGGGTACCACACTAGCTGAGGAGGGTACCACACCAGCTGAGAATGGTAGCACACCAACTGGGGAGGGTAGCACACCACCTGGGGAGGGTACCACACCAGCTGGGGAGGGTACCACACCAGCTGGGGAGGGTAGCACACCACCTGGGGAGGGTACACACACCAGCTGGGGGTACACACCAGCTGGGAGGGTACCTGGGGAGGGTACCACACCAGCTGGGGAGGGTAGCACACCACCTGGGGAGGGTACCACACCAGCTGGGAAAGGTACCACACCAGCTGAGGAGAGTACCACACCAGCTGAGGAGGGTACCACACCAGTTGAGGGTGGCACCACACCAGCTGGGAAGGGTACCACACCAGATGAGGGTGGCACCACACCAGCTGGGGAGGATACAACACCAGCTGAGGAATGACAATAATCGATCATTCTAAATAAAAAAATTGGCTGAAGATATTAGTCTCGCCATAACAGACATTACATAGGGTAGCAACACATGAACTCAAACCAACACCTGGAATAGGACCGACCATTCAAAACCATTCCAAGTGAAAAAAAGTAATAAAAATAATGATTGAAGAGAACGCTTATCAAGTTCAGAGGGTTATGTAATAGTATCAACCAGCCACATCAACTAGAGAGCACCTGGCTGCTAGCGCCCTGACACCCTACACAGAAAAGCTCATCTTTAACTCCCTGCTTCATCGTCTTTAAAATGGTATTGTGTTCATAAACCCTAATGGATAACTCGTTGGGTTTGCGGCTCTATCGTTGTTACAGTTAATCACCATAGTCCATTACTTAGTCAGCATTATCAACTGTGTTCGGGAATAATCAGGACAGACAATAATGTTTGTAAATAACATAGGCGGTGTAACTATATATTGTGCTAACGCTGCACCCTCCTCTACTTTATTAGTCGTAAGCTGTACTGGCTTATTGATTCTAAATGTTTAAGGTGATCAAGAGTGACTATTTGCATACCAGTTAATCTCCGCTCTCATTTTTTTCGTAGTGATCTAACGAGTTTTAGTGTACAGTATAAAGAAACATGCACATTGTACACTTAATCCCTTGTATTAGCTCCAAGGTCTTAATCGGTCTTAGTATCGATTAACTGAAGAGTCCGCACGCTCTGTCCCCTAGTTACTGTGAGATCTTACTAAGCTCCAGTAAATTTTAAGATTTTTACACTCTCATTTGCTATTCTATCCTTTTACTAGTTGGTGTGTGTGTAAATTTTAAGACTGTCGTTTACAATTGTAATCCGGGGGTTAATGCATATATCAGACCGTTTACGCTTCTACAAATCTTATACCGTACTCGAGTTAGATACGAAATACCATGTGAAAGTAAAATAATGTGGGTTCTATATACCTAATGGACAGTTAAAACATTTTGGATACATTACCTTGTACAGTAATTCATCGATGCACAAGGGGGCGACATGGCCGGCACTGAACTCGACCGGTTTCACTTCACAACTGTAAAGAAGAAATGTCAAGAATAATGTCACACTCATGATTTGTTTTTGTTTTTGCATAGTTGTCGGGTAACATAACTAAAACAGATAATGTTAATAAAATGTTTGTTTTTTAACATATTTTTTTAAGCTTTCATCTATATCATGAACGGAAGGAGTGAGTAATTGGATGGATGAGTATCTCCAACGTGGTGTCAACTCACTCGGCATAAGAGATGGCACAGAGGCCTTAGGGAAAGTAATTACTATACATTTACTTTTATTTTTGTAAAGCTGCTGGCTAGTTTAAGCGCAACCCATTTAAAAACGAGTCTTCCGAATTCTGGGGACACTGTTTCCTTCCCGATGTACTAAACAATTCCTCCAAGTGAGAGCCAATCTGCTTCCAGTTACAAGTAAAGTCGTGCACTGTAGAGTTGCCCACACATGACTTAACTCACCCATATAGTGTCCCATCGTTCCAGCCAATGAGGGCCTTACCTTCACGATTACTGGGTGTTTAAACAACCCATTATCACTTCTATGCCATATTTATCTCAGGTCTAGGGAACTAACTTAACTGAAAAGAGGTCATCTGATATAAAACCATCTCCTCTTGAAAAAAACGTAAGATCACCAAGGCATTCCCCTTGTGAGAGCCTGTGGGCGCTGATTCAACATTCTGTTGTCTTGGCCATTTTGCGGAATTGGTGCTAGTGAATTAACAGTAAACGTCACTGTAACTATACCTGGGCAAGCCAAGGCCAGGTGTAAAGGGAACTATTGTGTTAACTGTAATTTAAGGCCAGTCATTTAAAAGACCTTCAATTATGTAGCGAATGGAGTAACTAATTTAAACATAGAATGTTTTTAAAGAAGAACTCAAAGTATCAAGTTATCAGGCAGCGAACAGATAAATAAACATGAAAAAAAAATATACATATATATATATATATATATATATATATATATATATATATATATATATATATATATATATATATATATATATATATATATATATCATATATATATATATATATATATATATATATATATATGCTGATAACCACAAGGAAAAAGAAAACACGAAGTTCCCAAGCGCTTTCGTGTAATTCACATCTTCAGGGGTGAGTACAGACTAAGGAGAAGTACAAAACAAGGTGTATATATACAGAGGAGGGTGAGATCAGGTCCACAATGGTCAGGTATTAGGTAATGACCCTACTAATCTTTAAAAAGCACCGCAATGGTCGGTAGTCAGGTCAGAGGGTAAGGTGACCCAACCTTCTCACCTGGTTACAAATCTTCTTAATTACAAAATTGTCCAGTTTGTACATGCCATTACTCAAATTCATGTTGAATGCTTCGGTATGTTTAATGAGACTAGATTCTATAATGTTCCTACTGTCAATTGAATTACAAGGTAATATTGAGGAGGCATTATCCCAGTCAATGCAATGCTTGTTATCCCTCAAATGAACAAACAGAGCATTGGATTCCTGGCCTGTCCTAACACTATATTTATGTTGTTTAAGTCTAGTTACAAGATCTTTACCTGTTTGGCCTGAGTAAAACATATTACATTCCTTGCAAGGAACTTTATAAATGCAACCAATTGTGTTGTTCGAGTTCTTTCCTTGTGGTTATCAGCATATACCTGGATCACGCGCACTACAGTGATTTACTTGCATATATATATATATATATATATATATATATATATATATATATATATATATATATATATATATATATATATATATATATATATATATATATATATATATATATATATATATATATATATATAGACGGCAGACAAACACGCCCGACTAGTATACTCTAAAATCTAAATGATACAAGTCCTTCACAATGTTTACACTTGGAGAGAGTTGGCATATTTCTCTCCTGGAATCTTCGTGAAAGGTCAGAATCTAAAGCGAAAGTTCAAAGGCAACACCTCCATGACCCTGTGACCTTTACCTCTGACTTATCCCAACAATACTCGATCAGGTTCCAGGGACAAGCCTTGACTCTTGAAAGCAAAAGCCGAAGGAGATTGGGAACTAATCCTCAAAGCGAAGACCACCATGTTGTTGGTGTAGGGCGAACAGTATTTACTCTGTTTCATTAAGAAGCCAGTTTATAAGTAAAGTAGGTTAGGTTAGTTTAGGTATGAAGCTCTTCATTTATATGTATTGAGAGTATCTACATGATCGTCTATGACCAAACATACACTAAGTTAAAAAGAAAACACGTATAACTTAACGTTAATAAATAATCGGTAATTAATCCTATTTAATGTTTATATAACCACTAAGATAAGGTGAAAAATAACAAGTATCGTGGAAACAAGGAAAGTTTTCTTTATTTACACAATTACTACTATATCTAGATGCCAGATGTTAACACAAACACATTGTCATGTATTTTCATGTAAATCTCTATAAATACAATTATATATATGATGAGATAGTGTGGACAACTGCTCATACACTAGTTTTCCTAAATGATTGATGAATTTCATTATCTGGTAGGTTGTATGAGGGGACTACATATCTATTACGTCCACAAAGCAATAAATAAGCAATTTACTGATAGATGGCGTGTCAATTACCGACAGCGTATTAGACTAACTAATCTGTTAGTAATAATAAGAATGTATCTCTATCTCTTACAGATATGTTCGTCTTATCGACTGTCAGCTACGGCTAAATGGTGTTAAAATTTTCTTGTCTAAAGCAAATTATTTTACAGCTTTAATTTTGTTCAGCTTATGCGATACATAAATCTTAAATCTTAAAACCGTATATGAATATTGCCCTGTGTACTGACCTGTCGAAAATAAAATTTTACCCAGTGTATTACTTTTTGTCTCGTTTTATCCCATTACTGGTAGTTGATTGCAATCTGTAAAACTTTTATGGAAATCTTGAACAAAATAGGAACGAACTGGAGGAACAGAAAACTGATCATCAACTGGTAAATGGCTCAAGAAGCTTTAATCAGGATGACAGAATGAGATTTCCGAACCAGCAGAGATTGGGAGGGTACGACGAGGATATTTTGGTCATAATTTTTTGTTGGCTTACGCTGGGATGACGATGGTTCGAAAGATGGATGCAGTGGAGGGAGGAGTTAAGAGTGGGAAAACAGAGGCTGAAAAATGTCAGTTATGCAGATGAGTAAGAGATGGTGTCGGGTATGGAGGAGAGGGAGGAAGGGGAGAGATTATATACAGAGAATTATGGACAGTATAAAGGAGAGGAGTAAGGAATACGATGTTAAAGTTTGATGTTGATGTCATAATGTATTTACTGGATTTCTCTACATAAAGTTTTTAAGTGTGTATTGTAGGTTAGAAAATACACCAAACATCAACAATAAAATATCAAGAAAATATTTAAGATTGGAGGAAGACTTGTGATTGATATACTGTACAGGTAATGAAACACGTGATGAAATATATGAGGCAGAGATTCGGACAAAGACTGAAATGACTAAGACCACAATCAATAGCAGAACGGCTAATAAAAAAACGATAAATAATAAGTAAAAAATATTATTGTGAATTTTATTGTGTGGATTTTTGGGTGAAATTTAAACACTAAGGAAGAAGGATGTGGAATAGTGGGAAGTTTTCGAAATATGGAGGAGAATGGAGAAGATTGGTTTCGTGGAAAGGGTTACAAAGAAGCTATTCTGGTGAGCGTTTGAGAAAGAATCATATTTTAAATTGTGATAACGAGGGAAAAAAACTCAAGTGGTCAGGTCATGTGTTGAGTGGGGAGGGTTATATACAGTGGCAGGGGCAGATAATTTATACAGTATAACGTATTACTGGGTTGGGTTGGGTTAGAATAATAAGATAAGAAGGAAAGTGAACATGAGGAAGACGAGGATAAACTGATGATGGAGGGACGGACATACACAAAGATGAAAGGGGAGGC